CATGTGCCTGACATTCTAGAAGCTTCACAAGACCGAGATGGAGCCACTGGAGTGTTTTAGGTGGAGAAATGACACACTGTGACTCATAGGAGCAGGACCACTGTGGAGAGAACAGTCACGTAGCAGGTCATGGGACAGTGCTAGTGTCACAATTCAGGAGTGACAGTGTGATGGGGACTAAGGAGAGAGGAGGGCCTGAAGGATGAGAGGGACTGAGGGAAGGGCTGGAGAAGCAGGAGGTGAGGAAAAAGAGCAGAGGAAATAATTCGAAAGCAGCAGAATTCATAGGTTTAAATACATTGTTTTATGGATTTTAATATATCCATCTACAGAGCCTAGTAGGGTGTCCTTGGCAGTTGGCCTTTAATATCTTATGTGGGTCTTCCTAAAAACTAATTGTTTTTATGTTAATCGGGTTTTAAAAATACTAAGTGTCCCTATAAAATATACATAACACGTAGAAGTGCATACTTCCTAAAAACAGGCAGCGCCTGATCACTGGTGAGGGGCATTGTGACTGCATTGAACAGTTGCAACTGTGAGGTGAATAGTCCGTACTGGCTCCTGGTTGCAACATATAGTAACACAGTGTGCTACTTTGTATTGAGGAGATGTTCTGGACTCACACAGAAATTCAGAGCTATGGAATGATGGTAAATTTAAAATACAACAAGCGAGAGTCTCAGATACATTGTTTGCGAAAGTGAAATTTAGGAGCTTTGTGAGTCCTGTTGTAACCCTTTCGGACACATTTATAAATCAAGGGTTCAAAGTCACATTTTTTACCGATTAGATTCCTGATCATTCGGGGATTACCAAGATTCCACTACTCAATGTATTTAATAAACAAAGAACAAACTGATCTCTATTCTGTCTCATGCACTCAGGCGCAACTTTTCCAGATTAAAAAAAAACAACACAAACAAACACGGTCTCTATACCTTCATTCCCAGAGCAAGCTCACTCTCTGGCGCCAAGCTCCGTGGGGTGAGTTTTCTCCCAGAAGAGTCCAGGGGGACAGGTAAGGAGTGTGAGGCAGGGAGTCCAGTTCAGGGAGGGAGGTTCCGGGATGAAAAGTGAAGGGAGAGTGACGGGGCCCATGCCC